AAAAAAAAAAAAAAAAAAAAAATTTAAGCTAATGACATATTAGTCTTAAGACTAGGGTCACCTTTAAGACTCTTATTATACCTGTTGCTAAACTCCAGAATCCGCTACATCCTTTTACAGCTGGCATGCTGAGTTCTGATTGGTAGATTGGTAGAATGTTCTCCCCTTCCCAAGGGGTGAGCAATCATTTGGGTTAAAATAAAGGTGGGAGGCAACAAAGTGGAGGCCTAGGCACCCTCTCCCCCTTGTTCTCCTTCCCAGAAGAGCCATTCCTAACTACCTATCAACCAAAAGAGAATTCCTGACTTCCCTCCTCGCCCCCCACAAAATGGGTTCTACCAGTTTCCAATTTCACCTGATCCCTTTCTCTCATCTTCTTCCTCTCTTCACCTATGTAAAAGGTACCACCTTCTTTCCATTTGCTGATGACAACAAAATCCAGGATTAGGAAAAAATACCAGTTTCACTAGACAACATTCATCAAATTCTGGTCTCGTTCACTCTCTCTGCAATAGGCTCCGTCCCCCATTGCAATAATCTTTTTGAATAAAGTCTCTACTTCAGTAAGCCCAGATTTGTTTTTATTTGACACATTTAACCTTGATCCTGCCCTTGGACTTCAATAACAAATCCTGCTGGCTTTACCTCCAAATACATCCCAAATTTACCTGTTTCCTTCTCTCCATACTGCCACCACTCAGATCCAAGCTACTGTTATCAGGTGATTGGATTTTGAAGTGGCCTCTCCACTGAAGCACTGGCTTCCTCTTCCCCTCTCCCCCTCCTCCACAATTCATTAACTGGATGGCAGCCAGAAAGGTCTTTTTAACTGCAAAGAGAAAACTAATCCAGAGTGGGAGGAAAGAGGGATTGGTTCAGTGGCAGGGGATGGGTAATTCACTAGGAAGGGGCATGAGAAAGCTTTCTGGAGTAATGGTACCTTCCTGTATCCTGACAGTGATTTGGGTTACATAAATGTATGCATTTGTTTAAATTCATCTAGTAATACATTTTAAATGTATGTATTTCATTGTATGTAAATTGGTCTTGGGGTGAAAATGACCTATAAGCAAATATTGAACTTTAGCCAATGATATGCATGCTAATGGATTTGGGAGTGAAGTATACTGATGTCAGGAACTGATTTTTTTTTTTTTTTTTTTTTGGTCTGGCTTGCCCTCAGTAGAATGCCCTGGAGACACAGCTCACAGCAACCTCAAACTCTTGGGCTCACGTGATTCTCTTGTCTCAAGCTCCCAAGTGGCTGGGACTACAGAAGCCTGCCACAACACCTGGCCATTTTTAGGGACATGGTCTCACTCTTGCTCAGGCTGGTCTCAAACCAGTCAGCTCAAACAGTCCACCCGCCTTGGCCTCGTAGAGTGCTAGGATTCAGGCGTGAGCCACCACACCAGCCCTGCAACTGATTTTGAAAAAGATCAAAAAGAAAAAAAGGATCAGCAGGGCAAGAAGAATTAGATGCACAACAAAGAAAGTATAATATAATTTTATTGGTGGAATTTAGGTGACAAGTATACAGGTGTTCACTGTATGTTTGAAAGTTTTTTTAATTAAATGCTAAATGAAAATACCAAACACAGTAAGTAACTGCCTTGCTGCAGACCCTTCAGATTGCTTCACTTTGCATTAGAAATAAAATGTAAGGTCTCTTCCAGGACACTGCAAGATGGTTCTGGCAGACTTTGCTGACTTCATCTCCTACATTCTGTCTTTCATGCAACAAATATTTATCAAGCAGCTGTGTGCCAGGCACTAGATACCAGGGATAGAGCAAGGATCAACACCTAAAATAATCTATGCATGCATGGATCTGACATTCTGCCTTCTTCCTCAATAAACCCATTCCCCTGGCAAGCCTTCTCACTTCCAGAAATTGCCCTAATTTCAACTTAATCTGCATGTGGAGATGAGCTCAGGGAAGCTCATAAGAACATTCTCAGGTCTAGAACGAAGTCTTGTTTATAGTTAGAACACAATAACAATTAGTTGAACAAATATTAGCTCAAATTTATTTAGTACTTGTTACATATACACCTGGCCCTGTTTTCAAATGTATGCATGCATATGTGTACTTACTTAATCGTGAAAATTAACCCCATTTTACAAGAATTGACAAAAGGCACAGAAGAACTAGGCTATGAATTCAAGGAGTCTGGCTTCACTCATCATAATAATCCTAACCACTAATCTGCTTCTGAGCTAATGAATGAATGACTTAACTAGAGTGGCCTGGGTCCAAATCTGACGGCCACTTAGCCGTAAGACCTAGGGTCAACCGATTTACTTCCCTAGACTTCGGATTCTTTCCCTCCTCCTAGAAGTGAAGATTTTAAAATGCTGGAGGAAACTGGCTCCAAGACACACCACACACAAGCACGCACACGCAAATGCACCCTCCTTTGCTATGAGGAGGGAGGTAGGAACTGGGGAGGGCTTCTAGGGTCACCGCCAGGGGCGGGGTGTGGCCGCCTAGAGGCGGCCAAAGTCTTCTGGCTTCCAGGTTTCTACTGTTTGCCTTCGCCCTACCTGGGCGCTGAACACCGTCCTTCCTCCCGAAACCCGATTAAACCTGTGTGACCCGGGAGACGTCTATTTGAGCGTGAGTCCCAGACATCAGGCAGTGGTGGTGGTCACGGAGAAATCTGGCGACGGGGAGCGAAGCCTGCCTGCAGGCAGGGGGATGGGCTAGCTGCTCCGCCCCCAGCCTGATTTCGTTGGGGAGGGAGCACCCGGCTCCCGCCCCTAGCTGGCCCAGCCGCGTGGAGCGTCTGGGAGAAGACCGAGCCGACCTGCTGAGATGGAGGCGGTCGGCACCTGGGCGCTGCTGCTGGTGCTGCTGCTGCTCCTGCTGCTGGCGCTGGTGCTGCCCGGGACCCGGGCCCGAGGCCACCTGCCCCCCGGGCCTGCGCCGCTGCCGCTGCTGGGGAACCTCCTGCAGCTCCGGCCCGGGGCGCTGTACTCTGGGTTCGTGCGGGTGAGGGACCGCGAGGACGTCCTGGCTAAGGGTGGGGGTCCAGGACTAAGAGAGAAAGCGGGCGGGGCAGGTGCCCTGGGAGAGAAAAAGGGGCGTTCGGTTATCTTAAGGAGGCAGGGGTCCCAGGGCAAAGGGGCTGCAGTGCCCTGGGGTAGGGATAGGAGATTGTCCGGGGCCGAGAAGGGAAGGCTGCCGAGAGAGAGGATCCTAGGGTGGGGCTTCAGGGCTAGGAGGGGCAAATACCTCTGCCGGCAGAATCCTGGGAAGGTGAAGGGCAGGGACCAGGGCAGAGACAAGCAGGAGAGACAACTGAAGGGAAGCAGATGGGGGTAGGCTCGTCACAGTGGGAGAAGTAGCTGGGACATACAGGTGAGGTGTGCAGAGGAGGGGGGGCAAAGGGAAAAAGAAGGAGGAGCCCGGGGTGGGGGCCGGGAAGAGGCTGGGGGCGGGGGGTGTAGGCTCTAGGGGATCCAGGCTGAAGAAATCTGTCTGTAGAGAATCCCAGGTGGGAGGATGGGTGGGGCGGGGAGTTCGCTGAGGAGGGAGGGAAAGAGAGCAAGAAAGAAGGCTGGGAAGTCCTCACCTTTGAGGTGGGAGGTGGAAGTGGAAAGAGGCTCTGCGTTCCTCATTCAGAAGGATTCTGGGGAGACATGGGCAGATGCTTCGCGATGTCTGCTCCAGAATTTGAGGAGTTTGCAGTGATTGAAAGGGGTGACTGGGCTCGGCGCCTATAGCTCAACCGGCTAAGGCGCCAGCCACGTAC